GGGGCAGGGCCAGTTCGAAGCCACTTCGAGCGTTTGGAATTGGTGGACGACGAGGAAGCGAGCGCAGCAGCATCTGGTGCAAAGGACAAGCAAGATCCCGGAGACGGAGCAGACAAAGCTGGCGCAGAAGACCCGACCAGCGGCTCTGACAGATTCGAGGCGGACGTGGAGCGGATCCTGACGGTCTTCGAGTCGGGGCAGGATGCGGTGGCCGAACTTGCAGCTCTTCCGCACTACAGTCGTGAAGTGGAAGAAACTTCCTACGAGCATCTGCGCGAGAAGCTCGGGCAACTCGTCCTTGCCTTCGAAACTGATCGACTTTCGTCGGAGGACGCGGTGCAGCTGCAGTATCCATTATGGCGCGCCGGCTTTTACCCATTGGCAGTCTTGTTCGAGTGCTGGAGCCGCAGCACTGGCATTCCAGCAGTCTTCTACACGGATGCTTTTGCAAGCTTGGCGAGCAGTATGTTGCACAAAAGCATCGGCGCTGACATTGCTGGGTTTACGACTCGCAGCCGGTACTGGTGTTGTGGGACTGCACAGCCAGGAGGCGGCAAAACCCCCGCGCTGGAGCCGATGCTCCGCATGCTGCGAGGTTGCATGCAGAGACTGCCTCACTTTGCGCCAGGCAGCCCACCTGATTCGTTCCACCCGGTGGAACCGATGACACACGCCGCAGCCATCGCCAAGTTCCGCGATACGGACGGGTACGGCGTCATTGCTGCCGGCGAGGGTGGGCCCATGCTGTGTCCCGCGTGGCCGAGTAACGGCACGTGGACACAGAACACACATATCAATTTGCAGCGACTGCTGAATGCTGCTCAAGGCGGGTCGGTGACATGGGAGACCGTCTTCGACAGAAAGGATCGCAAGGCAGCTAGTGTGGAGGCCATGGGGGGTGACAAAGCCAGCCAGTGCGAAAGCACCAACGTCACCATTGCGCTGTTCCAGCAGCTGTCTGTCTTTCGCAACTGGCCCCGAGGCTGCAGACTTATTATTTTTGTTGTGTGAGTCTGAGAATGATAATGGAACCCATGCGTCCATCCATGTGCCTGGCAGCTCCAACTCACAGGTGGGCACAGGGCGAGCTGAAATCGAGCATTGGGCTTGCACAACGATTCGTTTTCTCCTTCGGTGCTGTCCGCCAACCCGGCAAGCCACAGTGGCAGCAGTTCGAAGACAGAGTCGTGAGGCCTGTTCTCGAACGCCTCTTCAGCGCTGTGCTCCAACACTTGGGCCCCAAAACTGCGATGCAGGAGACATCTGCGCAGAGAACGTGGCATCTAGCAGCAAGGCTCCGAGAAGAGGTGCATCAGTACCGTCTCGCGGCCTTTGACTGCAACAAGAGAGCGCAGTTCGGAGAGGTCTTTGCCAGTGGGCTCAACAAAAGTGTGTACTGGATCGGAGCCACAGCCACACTCTGCAGCATTCTGGAGGAGGCATGGCCATGCGTTCTGCGGGCGGAGCAGAAGCCTGTGGAGTGGAGTGGCGCAATATCTGAATGCTCGTTGAAGCAGGCCATGATATTTTTTCAAGAGCGATACCTTTTCGGTCTTGCAACCTTGGACGTGGAGACCCGCCGCTTGCAGAACAAGAAAGCGCCCAGCTTCCCGGAAAGCAAAGACAAGGCGAGCAGGTGCACACGAGCCGAGTCGATGAGCACATCAAATGTTATAGAGAACCATTGGAAGCTGTACCCGACAGGGACGAGAGGACAAAGAGAGAGAGAGAGAGAGAAAAAAAGAGAAAGAGAGAAAGAGAGAAAGAGGGAAAGACAGGCAGAGAGAAATAAAGAAAGAGAGAAAGAGAGGAGAGAGAGAGAGAGAGGGAGAGAAGAAGAAGAAGACGAAGAAGAAGAAGCAGAAGAAGAAGAAGAATAAGAAGAACAAGAAGAAGAAGGAAGAAGAAGAAGAATGAGTGCACTGCTTCGAGACTCGACTCGATGCCGGGCAGGCCGTCCTGCTGGCCGGCCAGCTTCTTGCGGCTTTTCCAGGACCCGCGTGGAAGATGAGGTGGTGCCAACGTCTCGGCGCACCCTTGCGAGAACTGGAGAGCGAAGATTCTGCCCGGGCGTGTGGCGCCTTGCAAGCCTACGACAACGCCATCCGTGTGCTGGAACTTCACGGTCTCGGTGCACGGACTTATGACAAGGAAAAGGAGGAAGCCGGGTTTGACAAAAGCAGGTTTCAGGACTTAGCTGCAGCAGCACGGGAGTTTCTGTGGTCATTGCGAACACCTTCGTGGTTTTTCCTGCTTTCGAGTCGAAGCACGTCATCTCTGGTAGACGGTGCCGGGGCAAAGAAGGACGAGGAGGATAGCGACGGAAGTGCTTCGTCCGAGGAAGAGAAGGACGTGGAGAAGGCGGCTGACAAAAGGCAGAAAAGCCAGAAGACCAGACCGCGCCGTGCCTACAGTGAGTTGCTCTTCAACGGCAGCCCGGCGATGCCCATCGACAACAGCAAGGCCTTGAATGCACAGGTACGTGGCATTCTCGCCAACAGTCAGCATGGAGATCGAGACGTGCGCTTGAAGCCGGTAGAACGGGCCAACGCCATCGCCGTGGTCGGTGAGTGTTCTACGCAGTCGTGCGCCGATTGCAGCTGGCGACTGCTGGCAACTCTGTGGTTGCAGGAGGATGGCACGCCGTGGCTAAATGTCAAGTGTGATGGCAAGCATGGAAAAAGGTCTCGACCAAAAGGCTGCAAGATGTGGGCACCTGCCGAAATTGCCGCCATCAAGACGGCGCACCCAAATGGCACGCTTCTGAGCAGCCGCAGCGTGCGAGCGGCTTTGAACGAGGCTGGCTTTACTTCACCTGTGGCGAAGGATCGGCTGAAGCAGTATGTGACACGAGAAAACCGAAAACGCAGAGGCGGCAATCTGGTGGGTCAGAAGCCCATCGTGCAGGAGCTTCTGGAGGCGGTGGAAGCGTGGTCGCGGAGGCAAGCGGCGACTTTCTCGAGTGCCTCGCTGGAGGAACTGCGAGTCGTGGGGACTCCTGATTGTGGAGTCGGGCATGCCTTCTTTGGATGGAGCTGTCGCGGATTTTTGAATCACGCGCTCAACCCCAACAAGGCGCCCGTGTGCGTCGTCGTCGACGGCAAGCACAAGATCACGACCACAGGGGGCGTGATCGCTACTGTCAGCTTCCTCGGCAAGGGGGAGATGGGCAACACCCGCCTTGCACACAGCAAGAAGGAGAAGGTGCAAGTGCCCCTGCATACCGGAACGACCCGGCCAATACTGCAGGCCTATATGGACGCAGAGTCGACGGCGAACTGGATTCGCCTCTTCGAGCTTCTGTGCTCCGTGGTTCTGGCGGAATGCGGCTACGACTTGAAGCCCATGGTTGTCCAGGTCCAGTGCGACTTCAACGATGCTATAGAGGCAGCACGCCGAAAAGTCTTCCCGAATGCCCGAATTGCGAGAGACTACCCCCACATGATGCGGGCGGTCCATTCCGCTGTCACAGCCAAAGCGGACGAAGATCTACGTGGGAGAGTCATCGCCTTCATGCGGGCCACGCGTTTCT